GACTGGCTCCTTCGTCCAGGCAGCGGCCTATCCCTTGAAGCTAAGGTGCGGCTTTTTAAGGCCATTGTCCTCCCAACCTTAAACTGGGGAATCACTTGCTGGGGCACGGCCTGTGATTCGTCACTAAAAAGGGTGCAAACATGCATTACAAAGGCTCTCAGGCGGATGCTAGGGGTGAAGTGGCACCATTATGTAGAAAACCGAGTTATGTTCCAGGACACGGGAGTGCCGACGGTAACAGAGACGATTTGCAAATCCTCAAGTCGATACCGGGAACGTTTGCTCACACATGCAAACTGTCTGGCAAGACATCTTGCAACACCACTGGGTCGACGGCGTCTCCGCAGACGACACCCGGCAGACTTATGGATTCTCGGCCGTGACAGACACGGTCGCCTTCTGTAATAACACATCTTGATTAACTTTTGACCGGCTATGACCACACCTGATTTGCTCAAGAATGGAGCACCCGTTACCCGCATTTTTTGGGATCTTTAGAAATAATTAGTCAATACACGAAAACAAGGTCCATCCTTGTGTGGCGTGTTCAATAAACTATAAAAAAAAAAAAAAAAAATGCATTAGTTTAGTCCCATTGCGTATTCTCTTACGTGCTCCGTTTCTCTCTGTTTCATCTGTGCAATTTGAGTCTCCAACTTTTCCTCATACCTCGGCGGCAAAAAGTATTTCAGCAGTTCCGTTCTGAGCTGAGTTCACGTTACGATCCTGGTCGGCGTGGTGTTCCACCAATCGCTCGCGACCCCCTCTAGAATGAATGGCATCGTTTGTATCAGCTGGTCCTCCCGGATTCCATATCCGCCTGCCCACTGTTCCATTTTGCTTAGGAACTCCAGTGGCTTTGTTGTTCCTTGGTACCGGATGCCCCAATCGCGTACCCGGTCTACGACTTCTGTTTCCATTTTCTTCTCCATTTTTTTTCTATCTCTTCTTCCATTTTGTCACTTAGACTTGTTTCTTTGGTGGCTATTATCCCAGCTGTTGTACTGGCTGATGGGCCTTCGTTGCTGTTCCCCTTCTCTTCCCTGGTTACAACGATCGCCAGAATTGTTTCTTTTGCCTGGCTTTTTTCTCTCTTATATTTTTCTGTCAGTTCTGCGAGTCTTTGTCTGACTGTTTCTGTGTGATCCGTTCTTTTGGCGAACGCTACCAACAAACGGCTTAAATCTTCGCGTCTTTCTGCCGTTTCTAATCCGAACTCTTCCTTGTATTCCGTTAGTTCGCTCTTTGCTGCCAGATATACCCAGCTCAACATTACTCCGACGGTGTCGGTCCATCTCTTGCAACCGCGTTAACCTGCTCGGGCGCCACTATGACGGTTTGTCACTGTAGGATGGCTCAGGGATGGACAGGGTTCGTCACAGAAATTTGTGTCAGGCGTGGTTGCTGAAAGGGAATTCCGACCCAGCCCAGAGTAGAAGTCGTGGAGAATTACACAGTAATTGATTATAACTAGGTTTATTTCGGTAAGATTCTTGACATTTGATTGATTCTGACCAATGGATTCCCCTGACTGGCGGTGTGCCGCCCTTGCGGCTTTCGTTTCCCTCGTCCAATTCGACTGCCGGGTGGCGGGAGCCGTCCAGCTGCTCGAGAGGAACAGCACGGGATTACGGCGGCTGGTAGAACAGACTGAGAGTATCGGACGGCCCTTGGCCGGTTATCACTCGCCTACGGGCGATGATTTGAGTGCTTGGGGACCCAGAAGTCAGCCACAAGAGAGAGAGAATAGGTTGCTTGGGGGACCCTAAAGTCATCCGCAAGAGCGAGAGAGAGTATGTTGCTTGGTGACCCTAAAGTCAGCCGCAAGAAAGAGAGAGAGAGTATGTTGCTTGGGGACTCTAAAGTCAGCCACAAGAGAGAGACGGTTTGGTGCCGGGGAGTCCCTAAAGTAAGCCAAAAGACAGAGAAAGACGGTTTGGTGCTTGGGGACCCTAAAGTCAGCCGCAAGAGAGAGAGACGGTTTGGTGCTTGGGGACCCTAAAGTCAGCCACAAGAGAGAGAGAGTATGTTGCTTGGGGATCCTAAAGTCAGCCGCACGAGAGAGAGAGTATGTTGCTTGGGGACCCTAAAGTCAGCCACAAGAGAGAGACGGTGTGGTGCTTGGGGACCCTAAAGTCAGCCACAAGAGAGAGAGAGACGGTTTGGTGCTAATGTCAGCCGCAAGAGAGAGAGAGACGGTTTGGTGCTAATGTCAGCCGCAAGAGAAAGAAAGCGCGGCCGATGAACCGAGCCGTAAGGAGGCGTGATCCTGAACTCAAACGTCTCTTCTCTAACTACAATTTATAAGCGGACTTAGATCGAATGATCCAGTCCACCGAGAATGACTTTGCTGCTCACCACCACTCTCTACCCGAAGACGGTCTGCTGTTCAGTGAAGTTCTATGGCCCGTGATCCGCCTTATATAGGGCTCGGCGAGCCTGTGTGGGATTTGCCGGTATAAGTGTGGCCACCTCTCTTGGTCTAGTGTGCCCCTACGTGAGCGGACGTTGGCGCGCGCGCGTTCTTAGTTTGAATTCGAATTTAACGTTCTTTTTATTAGTCTTTTAATTATACCCGTTACTCGTAGAGTAAAAGGGTATATTGTATTCGTGCAAAAGTATGTAACAGCTAGAAGGAAGCGTTTCCGACCCTATAAAGTATATATATTCTTGATCAGGGTCACTAGCCGAGTCGATATAGCCATGTCCGTCTGTCCGTCTGTCTGTCTGTCTGTCCGTATGAACGCTGAGATCTCGGAAACTACAAAAGCTAGAAGATTGGCATTTTGCATGCAGATTCTAGGAGTTCCTACGCAACGCAAGTTTGTTTCAAAAAGGTGCCACGCCCCCTTTAACGCCCACAATTGCTTATATACGATTTTAAAAATTTAAATATTTCAGAAATGTAAAAATGCAGTTTTATTGTGTTTATCAATACCTATCGAAATGTAGAAGAAATTTTTCAAATCGGACCATTCGTTAAAAAGTTATGCGTGATCAAAGTTTCTGTCTCCATCTCCCTCGCACTCCCTTTACCTGAGTAACGGGTATCTGATAGTCGGGGCACTCGACTATAGCGTTCTCTCTTGTTTTCATATCGATTTGTGCGCGCCCAGCGTCACAACTTTCTAAGCCTGAAATAAAATTGTTTACCTTCAGAAAGTCTGCCTTTCGAAAACAGTGTGTTCTTTTGGGTAAATTCTTTGATTTTTCTTCTATTTCGGTACCCGAATCGATTGTCACTTCGATAGTGGTGCTACCCTGGACAGAAACACACCTTCAGGATTTGGTTAAAAACACAAGTCAAGCGAATTTCGAACATGGTTTACTTAAGATAACGATATGTGATACATGGTTTACTTAACATAACGATATGTCAAGCAGGCCATTAACAAAATCATGTTGTGCTTTAAGTAACTTCACGTCATTAACCAGGTTTCTTATAATATGAGATAAAATGCTTTCAGAATACAATTAGAAGTTATTTTGAAGACTTTACATTGGCTTGGCCTGGACTATTAAGTCTTATTCCCATGGGCCCCTTTTATCTTAGCTTCGAACTCTTTTACAACCGTATTTTTCGTCCAAAAGTTGCAAGGTCATTAAAAAGCTCATTTTTGATAGTGATCTTGAACGATGAAAACTTAAACTTTTCCACCTTTACACGATTTTATACCGGCTATAGTTTGGTTTAGTATATAAGACTTCAGATGTTTGATCAAGCCGAAAAACAAATACCACTGAAACGGGTTTTTTTTGATCATCCTTTTTTCCACAGAGCCGGTAGTCCGGACTCAGTAATCCCTTGTGGAGGTGTAGCTAAAATATCATGGATAGAATGATCCACTAATTGCATACTGATCCCTGGTTGCATACTTCTACTACGGATTGTTCGGATACCGAATCGTTTATAGCTTCTGATCTTAGCAACATTTAAAGGTTTGCTGCAATCGGCTGCTGATACACGGGAGTGCTCTGCTGTTTTTTGAATGAGGCTTTTTGCGCTTATCGGATTTCTCTAATAGCTTACGGATATTTAATCATCATATTATATTATTATCACCTCGGGAAAAACTATCTCTAGCAACGCCGAAACAGCTAATCAGTCCCTTCAAGCCGCCATTAGTTTGTCTCTACTTCTGATGTGCTGATATTTACACCACCCAAGCGTTTCTGAATGTATTGTAATTTTTCGCGCTCGAGATTGCCAATATTTAAATTGCTTGGACTTTCTTGGGCAATTTCCGCGCTTCTGACAATTCTAACAATTTCTAACCATTTTTCAACAACATTATCACTCATATGTTTTTTTTAAACTAAGTACAATGATTTTTGTTCCTTTTCCATTTAGTTTTTTGCTGAAATTTTTCTGAAATTGTGCTTATATTTGTCTGAGAGCTCTTTAAATTATTTTATTCTTAATTTTAAAATAGTTTATTTTAAATATTTATAATTTTTATAAATTTGGTGAAGACCATTTAATTTTAAATTTAATTTACTTTAATTTTAATATTTTGTTTTTTTTTTTATCTGAACGGATCGAGGGTCTTTCGAACGCGTTGGTTGCCAGTTAAGTATTTCCTGTAGTAAAGAATAATATAAGACGCGCAGTGTTGCGCCAATGAGAACACTTTGGGGATAGCGAGGCTATGACCGTCACGATTGACTAAATACTAAGTATTTAAATTCTAATAATAAAAGCTGAACCCTATGCCTTGCTGACCCGTCGGCTCGTGCATGGTGTTGGGTAGTCGCCGCTTTTCTTGCTTCTGAAACCGGCGTTGTGCAATATCCGTAGGTGATGATGGCCTTGCTTTATTTTCATGCCGGCTTGGAGTTGTAAGAAGTAGAAATGTAAAATATCGGTGCGGAGACCTACTTAATGATTAACCGGACATTTAATTGCAAATAATATTATAAATATGTCATATAATAATACATTTTTAAAATAAATAATATATTATTTCTCATAAACACCTTAAAAATTTGTTTATATGCAGGATATTCCAAACTATAGAATTATGGTTAAGCAATTTTACAGCGACGTATCAAGGCTTCCACAAATAAGCGACCAGGAAATGAGTACTGCTATGCAACAACTATCAGTAAGACAAAATGAGGAATTTGATACTATTTCTGCATTAAAAGAGTTATACATTTACATAACCAAATATAAGGATCAGGTAATAATATTATTAATTATGTGTTTTGCTTTAACCTGTTATTTCTTCTTTTTAAAGATTATGGAAGCACTTGAAACCGATATAAATTGCCGAAAGATGCAACTTTCCCGAAAATTAGAAAATGTTGCTGCTACACTCGACGGCGACGGAACATCTAATTGCTGACATAAGCAAGAATTTGTTTGGACTTTAAAATGTATTACATTTCGATTCAGATTTTGTTACCGAGACAATTTTAATTATTGGTCCTTGGCAACATTTTTAATTTTTTAATTAAAAAAAAATGACTGGTTTAAAAAATTGAGTACTTTTTATAGTGTGCATAGAAGTAGACATAAAAAATTGTTTCTAAACAAACATGTATGTACAAGAAGCAGGCTTTGTAAGATAAGATCAACAACCTTTTGATATTATTGCGAAGAAAAAATACACAACATTTTCAAAGAAATACTGATCATTTTTGCGTTGTATACTTTTGTACTTGTACGCAAAAACACGTGCGTATTGCCTTTATTGCATTTAAATATAGTATGGCAATCTAAGTATATAGACCTTTTGTCAGATTATCGTGATAAGTAAGTATATAATTAGCAATACTCTTGTAGGGGAAACTGATGTCCAAAAGTGGTTTCCAACGGACAATGTTTTTTTTTAAATATACTTGAGAAATTATTTCTTTCACATTTCAATGTTTTTTTTTTGTTTTTCTTGATACATAAATTTAATTCTGTCACGGTTTGTACGGATTTGTGCACGAGCTCATCCAATTTTTTATTTATCCAGGCTGGCTAACATTCCAATTTTAAACATGATCTGTCACTTTGTACCTCTGTCAAACTTATAATCCGCAGTTAAGGACTATGATCATTATAAATAATTAAAAAACTAAAAGAAAAGAAAAAACTTTTTATTTTAATAATTTTTATTATTTCATTCAAATGCTTTAAGGGTAAAATAAAGTTATTCCGCATCCGTGATTCAACCGATCGATCACGTGACCGATCTATCAAAAAATTTCAAGCCGTTTGATTTGTAAGAAAAAACATAAAAACCATAGTAAATCGCGGTACATCGTGAATACATTTTTTTGTTATTTTTGGGTAACAAGTAACCAAAATTACGAAAACACGCAAATAATTTAGTTTTAGCTGAAAAGGTTATATTTGTATAACGACATGGATATTTTCGTAAATCGAATTCGATTACCCAATTTCGCTCGATTTTATGTAATAAAAGTAATATCTTTCAAAATGTGTTGTGCATTTTACCTTCGCGTTAGTAAAGTTTGTAAGCAAGTTAAGAACTGATCAATATATCCCTATCATAAAAATTTCTGTAATCATATTAAGATAAAAAATGTTAATAAATATATTTGTATTTAATATTAAGTCCCAAAAACATAAATGAAATTGATAGATTATCTTTCTCTTTAACAACGATGAACCTCGATTTAGAATAACTTTGCGCCAGATAATATTTATCTTTCGACCACGATTCTCTTTTTATGTCAATTAAAATATATAATTTGTAAAAGAACGGTAAATTAAAAAAAAATAATAATAAACAAATGTAATTACGAAAACTTTCTTATTAATACATTTATACCGAAAAATTTGGATCATAGCCCCCCATTTAGCCTTTTTTTTTGACCAGGTATCCAAAAAATATAATTTTTATACCCTTGCAGAGGGTATTATAATTTAAGTCGATCTAGCCGTATGTCCGTCCGTCCGTTTCAACGCAAACTAGACCCTTAGTTTTAAAACTATTGTCTTTCTATTGCAGATAGTATATAAGAAAGAACGAGCCGGACCGGGCGACTATATCAAATAGCTCCCATTGGAACAATCGAGATTTTTCTAAGTGTAAGTTTGTTGTTTTCAATTATTTTTTTTCTTCCTTTGGATTTGGCAATATTTACATACTATGGAATTACGGTTTTAATTAAATTAAAATCAAACATCTATATCATAGAGCTCCCATAAGAAAATCAAGAAATTAAATAAAATAAAAATGAAAAAAAATTTTATATTTTATTTTTGTTTTTCTTGTTATTAAAATATTCCTTTGAGATATAGTAATTATACTATATATCAGAACTACGCTTTTAGTTTTGTCAAAATCAATATCATATAGATGCAATAGAAACGATGGCAAAATGCAGCGCAAAATCGACATAACTTCATTGTTTTTCGTGATTAACTGTATTTTGTATTAACTGCAAGGGTGTATAAACTTCGGCTTGCCGAAGTTTATTTCCTTTCGTGTTTATTTTTTTTTAATGTAAACCGAAGCTTGATTTGGCAAGACGAAGTTTTAATAGCCTGGTAGTCATACTACCATAATAATACTGAGGTATGATTATATATTATATAATATAATTGAATTGTGCCTATAATTTAAAACAACCAAATTTATTACACTTTATCCGCTGGTTCCTATGACAGCGATAGAATAAAGCTTCTTTTAAAAATGCAATTTTAACCCGATTGTCCCTGTGGCAGCTATATGTTATGGACGTCCGATCAGACCCGTTTTTTAAACTTCATCTTTATACACATATTATTGAGTTTTACAGTAACAATGTTAAGTTTGAGCACAATCTAGCCACTTTAGACACAATACAGAAACAAGCTATTTTTCAATGCGACATTATATATATATATTGAACTCGATTTAAATAAACCCCAACTGAAGTGAAAACTTAATAAATAAGACATTAAATACTTCGAGTGGTATATTTGAACCTTGATTGTTTCTATGAACTATGTAAGACCATGATACGATGTAACCATGATAGCCTGTAGCAGTCAGGCTTTTATTGGTATAGAAACGGAGAGACAATTTTTTTTTCGGCGTTAGAAACTGTCCTAAAGGACTTGGGCCGAGGTAAAAGAGTCCAAGAAGCTCGTCGCTTTTGGGCGTGGTTCTTGGTAAGCTTCTTACCTTTTCAACATAACCAGAATAAGTTTTAAATGTGCCTGAGTATTCAAAATTAACTGTAAAGTTCGTTTAGCAACAGTCCGCTTTGCCCGACAAACTTAGCGATAGGGCTATCTACCCTCCCCTCATTTCCCTCTCACATGTTCGTGTATTATACGGGACGATTCGCGAGAAGAAAGACGCGAGATATTCAAAAATGGAGTAAGATCAATTTTGTGCTAATGAAGTAAGCATTAATCGTTTCAAGAGCGGCAGAGAGTCAAGATTTGAGATTATAGGAAAAAGTCTATTGCAGTCTGAACATAACACTCTGAATATTATGGGAATAGAATTTCTAGTTAACCTACTTGACCTACTTCACGCTAATTAAGGCTCCACCTCCCTGCAAAAACTTCGGAGGTTAAGATCCCCGGTTTTAACGAGGTTTATGTAAACAGGATAATTGAGATGGCATTTGTGACGATTCTGACTGACGGCTAGGCCACCACAATAGATATAAGCAATTTTTTTTTTCGCGCGGAGTCTCACGGCCCATTTACCCGCCCAACCGACTGAGGGGCGCAGCCGTGTATCGTACTGCATAAGATAGACGCGAGATAGGAAAATAAAGGTAAAGGTCCGGGGAAAAAAATAATAGTTAGATCAATCTTGTGCCAATGAAGCAAGTATCAATCGTTTTAGGAGCGGCAGAGAGTCAAGATTTGATATTACAGGAAAAAGTCTATTATATTTAGAACATAATACTCTGAAAGGCATAGTTAGATCTACAATGATTTAAAATTAGGGGAAAATAATTTCTAGTTAATCTACTTGGCACAGAAAAGTTTAGCCGACTTAACAAGTCGGGGCAGTCAATATCACCATGTATAAGGTTATAAATAAAGATAGTACCAAGCATCGTTCTACAGTTGGCTAGGGATGGTAAATTAATCAAAAGAAGTCTACTAGAATAAGAAGGTAAGATAAGATTTGCATCCCAGTTTAGGCGCCGTAAAGCAAAAAGAAGGAAGTTTTTTTGTACAGATTCAATACGACCAATATGTATTCCGTATTGTGGACTCCAGACGGGAGACCCATACTCCAGAATCGGACGGACTAGCGAAATAAATAAAGTTTTAGTCAAATAAGGATCATCGGATATATCGGATTGGCCTGATAAAAAGTCATCAGCTTGCACTTGGAACCGTTTAAATTTAGTAAATTATCTCGGCACCAGTATTGAAAATTATCTAGATCGGATTGCAAGTTTAAGTTTAAATGGCAGGAAATGTCCTTATACTGCAGGCACAACTTAACATCATCTGCGTACATAAGTACGCGAGAATGACTTATAATTGAGGGAAGATCGTTAATAAATAATGTAAAAAGTAACAGACCCAGATGGCTCCCTTGTGGGACACCGGAGGTAACACGGAGAATTTCAGAAATTGAATTTTTAAAAAGGACCCTTTGTGACCTGCCATTTAGATAACTTGAAATCCATTTAAGCAGATCAACTGGAAAACCTAACAGGTCAAGTTTTTGAATGAGAAGTAAGTGATTTACAGAGTCAAATGCTTTACTAAAGTCAGTGTAAATGACGTCTGTTTGAAAACTACTATTGAAGCCTTTTATCACAAATGAAGTGAGCTCTAGAAGGTTTGTGATTGTGGATCTACGTTTTATAAATCCGTGTTGACACGGAGAAATGATTGATCTGCAAAGGTGCTGCAAATAATTAATAATAATTTTTTCAAAAAGCTTAGGAATAGCTGACAACTTAGAAATACCTCTGTAGTTACTGGCTTCTAACTTGTTACCTTTTTTGAAAAGAGGAATAACAAATGATTCCTTCCAAATATTTGGGAATTGGGAGGTTTCTAGAGATAAGGTAAACAACTTGTGAAGAGGTTTGCACAGGGCCTTAGCGCAATACCTAAGCACGCACCCAGGAATACCATCGGGCCCTGGCGAATAAACAGGCTTAATACGAAGAAGATCCAAAAGAAGAGAGCTTTCTGTTAAAGTGGGACAGAATATGAGGTTTGACTTGGACATGGAGTAAGAATAAGGCTGTGATGAATAATCTAAAGTAGAGTAAGTCGTTTGAAAAAATTGGGCAAATAAATCGGCTATTGCCTGATCTGTGGTTGCCGTCATGTTTTCGAACGAGAGCGAGGAAGGAAAAGAATTAGATTTACGCTTGGTGTTAACAAAATTATAAAACTGTTTCGGGTCCTGAGAGAACTGGACCTTACAACGGTTTAAGTAAATATTATAACACTGAGCATTAAGCACGGTAAATCTTGACCGAGCACTTAAATATCTAGTAAAAACAGATTCAGAACCGGTATTTTTATATTTCCTAAAAAGTCTGGACTTTACATTTCTTAAGTGTGTCAACTCTTTGCTAAACCAAGGTGATTTATTGGAAGTTGACGGATAGTACCACGGAACACAGGAATTAAAAAATGAGTTTATTGCAGTGTAAAAAACATTAACTGCATCGGACATATTAATGCATAAGTAAAGATCAGACCAATTAAAGCCAGAAATAAAATTATTTAGCCTCAGAAAGTCTGCCTTGCGAAAACAATGCATTCGTTTGGATTTTTCTGATTTTTCTTCTATAACTCTACCCGTATCAAATGAAAGTTCGATTGTTGGGTGATATGGATCGAGTGGTGCTACTCTGGACAGAAACACACCTTCAGGATTTGATACAAAACACAAATCAAGTAGGCGATCTAATGAATTTCGAACATGGTTTACTTGAGATAGAGATATGTCAAGCAGGCCATCAATAAAATCATGCTGTGCTATAGGTAGTAAGACATTCGATCCATCCTCAGTGGACCAAGTAACTCCAAGTATATTAAAATCACCTAGAACTATCAACTGATCCCTATCGGAAAGCTTATTTGCAACGGACTTAATAACGGATAGGTGATTTAAATAATCAGGAAGTTCAGACAACGGCGGAATATATGAGCAAGTTATATATATAAAGTTACCAGGAAGTGATAACTTTACACAAATAAATTCAATGGTATTGAATTCATCAAAAAATAACTCCTCAGACGGGAAGTTTGAATCAACTCCAATTAAGACTCCACCTCCCCGTCTAGAGGGACGGTCATACCTATATATTGTGTACTTACCTGGAAAAACTTCGGAGCTAAAGATCTCCGGCTTTAACCAGGTTTCTGTGAACACAATAATATGAGATGCAAAGGAAAGGCTATCAGAATACAATTTATTGAGTTTGCTACGCAAACCTCTTGCATTCTGATAGGAAAGAAGGAGGTTAGAAGTTAGTTTATTGAAATTGGTACACTGGTTTGGCCTCGACTAGGAAGTTTTACTCCCACGGGCCCCTTCTTCTTTATCTTAGCCTCGAACTCTTTTACAACCATTTTGTCCGGCCAAAAGTCGCCCGAGCATATGGCTTCAAAAAGCTCGTTAGGGACAGTTATCTTGAAAGATGAAATGTCTCTAGCATAAGAAAACTTAAACTTTTCCACCTTTACACTATTACAATCGGCTTTAGTTTTGTCTTGTATATAAGACAGTACATCAGAAGATGTTTGATCAGGGGAAAGCCGAGAAACGAAAATTTGTTTCTTTAGTGGAACCACTAAAAGGGATTTT